ATTAAAGTTTCTCATCTAACGCTTGAACTATTATTCAGTGTCATTCGTTGAAGTGTTAGTCTCTCTTAGTACTTAATTTATTGTTATCATTCATTAAGAAAGACGTTTCGTTGTAAAATTATTTCTTTAAATATTTGGGTCTTATTGAGGACTCTTGAAAGTTCAATATTGCATTAGGATCGATATTCCTTGTTTACAAGTCACAGGAAGCGCTATAAGGGTTTTGATTCCACCATAAATCAATTAATTAGTGAAAAAATCTTGCTCGTGATGACGAACTTGGTAACAAATGACGTAGATAATTTGTTTGGATTGAACCTCTATAAATATATCGTTTCCATCATCTCAACTCTTTTACTTATTATTATTATTTTTTTCTTACTATTATTATTTGATTGATCAACGTGTTTGTGATTTACTTCTTTTGAAAGTGTGTTTCGAAAAAGCTTCAAAAATCAATTCACTCCATATCGGTTAGTTATTCCTGTGACATCAATTGATATCAATGCAAGGTGTTCGCTTTGATATTAAAATTTTACAATTTTGAGTAATGACTAACCATAATATTCAAAATCTTGAGGGACATTCTACAATCAAAAAATCTACTTTATTATGCTTTAAATAAAAATAAATTTAATTGTATACTAACATGTGATTAAGTTTATGATACTTGGCATTCTTTAGAAATCACTCATATGTGTACTAGTAAATTAAAAGAAACTAAGATCAATCTTTTGATTAAAGTTTTGAAATTTTCTTTTTGAGACAAAATGAACTCATTGTTGACATAATTACTCGTTTTATCGATATTGGGAATGGCCTTAAGGTTTTGATCGAAAATTTACTAACTATGAACTTATAAGTAAAATGCTTAGGTACCTCTCAAAAGATTGGAGTTCATTGAGAATGTTGATAGAAAACACTAAATATGTCAACACATGAGCTCTATGGAAAATTATTAATATATGAGCTAAAAGAGGAAATGGATGAGCTTCCTAAGCACCAAATTGTTTTAAAGACGGCAATCGATGAAGGCACAACAAATGAAAACATGAATGATGAAGAACTTAACAATCTAGTTCTCCTTGTCAAAAAATGGAGGGGTTTCGCACCAATCACCAATTCCAATAGAGATGAAAATGGTGAAAAGGAGTAAAAAATAGTCTGTTATAATTGTGACAAAGTCGATCACAAAATAATTGAATGTTCCAACAAGAAAAGATTTATCAAAAAGAAAGTATTCCAAATAATATGGGATGAAAGTGATGATAATGACCATGCAAAAGATGAGAGTCAAGAGGAAATTTCCAACATGTGGCTATTGAAAATGAGGTAAACACAAATGACAATTCTTTATATGATAAATTATCTACCTCGTATGATAAACTCCTTGAAGAATTTGAAAAAATTTCTCTCAAACATTCGATTCTCAAAAAGAAAAAAACTCTTCATCAGAAAAGAAAGTGAAGAAACTTTTGGAAACACAAAAGGATTTTGAAAAAGAAAAAGTGGTTCACAATTATTTAAAGAGAACTTTTCCTTAAAAGAAAAATTATAGATTTCACTAAAATTATTCACAAATAAAATAATGCAAGAAATATTGAGATTTGATCCTTGGTGAAGGAAATTGTTTTTTGATTACCTTTTACTCTTGATTTCACCGTGACTTTGGGGTAAAGCCGTTCTTCCTTTTTCTTATCAATCGTTACATGAATTGGATACAAATATTTCTTGAAACAAAATCTCTCAAAAGTTTATTTGTCAAAGCCTCTACGCCTCATCTTCCGTATGTTACTTGTAGTTTTTGTAACAAAAATGGATATGTAGCTTTATTGTTCAATCAAAAAGAGGTTGCCACAAATACTAACTACAAGAATCCAAAATTGTATGGGTACCAAAGATCAAAACTTAAATAATTTTTTATAAGTATCAAAGAAAATAAAGAGCAAATGGTTCTTGGATAGTAGATGTTCAAAACCCATGATCGGAGATAAACTCTGTTATCAAGCTTCGAGTGGTGGTCATGTTACTTTTGGAGATAATGCTAAATAAAAAATTATTCGTATTGAAATTATTGGTAATCATTCATCTCCTTCTATTGAAAATGTACTATTAGTTGATAACCTCAAACATAATTAATTAATTAATTATATGATTAATGTTATCATATCAAATTGGATTATTCTAAAATGCTGTACTGAAGATACTACATCTACAGAAGTGATGTTTATATCATTATATGAAGTCAAAGTAAGGATGTTTATATCGTAAACATTGAATTTGAAAGTGAAACTAATTGTTTATCAAGTTTAAAAGGCGATACTTGGTTGTGGAATAGAAGATTATGTAATGTTAGTATAGACCTACTTACAAAGATTTGGAAAAATTACTTTGTCAAAGATTTTCCAAATTTGAAATTTGTGAAAGATAAAATTTGTGATGTATATCAATTTGAAAAACAAATAAAGAGCTCTTTCAAACTTAAGGAACACTTATCAACTACAAAACTTTTACAACCTTTCTACATAGATCTTTTTGGACTATATTGAATCGCAAATTTGAGTGGCAAACATTATATTTTTGTCATTGTTGATGGCATTTTTAATTTACTTGGGGTGCCTTTTTGAACTTAAAAGATGAAGCTTTGAAATGTATTTAAGTATTTTTGTAAAAATGTTCAAAATGAAAAGGGGTGCACTATTACTACCATTAGAAGTGATCATGGTGGAGAATTTGATAATATTGTGTTTGATGATTTTTTCAAAAATAATGGATATGAATATAATTTCTCGACTCCTAGAACTTCTCAATAAAATGGTATAGTAGAAAGAAATAATCACTCATTACAATAACTGGCTAGTCAAGTTGTTTACGAGCTGGCTCATTTTTTATTTTTTAAATTAATCAATAAAATAATCCAAAAAAGGAGCAATTTTTATTTTTTTGAAAAATTAGTACAATAAGTTAAAAAATGAGGCAAAAATGAGCCGACTAGTGGATCTCACAAGCTGAGCCCTCTCGACTCAACCAATGGCTGGTTTTCAAATGAGTCCGAGTCGAGCCGAGACCCCTATGTGGGCCTTTATCTTTGTTATAAAAACTAATTAACATAATAATCCAATTTCCTCAATATTTGAAATCTTTATTAACTCTTAATCAAAATGCCATAGAGAGTATTCTCTCCATCTCAGAAAGATAAGATTTTTTCATTTCACACAGATTAAGAAAATTTAATTAATATATGATAGAATTATAAATTTTACTTATATTTGTTTCTAATATACCCCTGCATTAGATAATGATAGTTCATATTTGTTATAACAAGACTTAATAAATAAGGATATATTACAAAATTAAGACATTAATTATACTTTCAACAATGAAAGTGGTCTATAATTTGAGACAAAAACGAAAAAAGAAAGCATATATACTAGGGAGGTGTGGGTGTGTGGTTAGTACGTAGGTATTGGCAATCGTAGTACATCTTCATGTTACATTAGGTGATTTGCAAATGTTCAATTCTCTTTCTAGTTTTTCTACTTCCATTTGAAGTACTTGTTTTGAAATTTATGTCATGCATTTGAATTGGAGTAGTTTGAAAAGGTTAAATATTAAGCTCGCGTAATCTCGAGTTTGAGAGAGATTTTGTTTTGTTAATCTATTTTTTTGGATTATAAAAAGTCTTTGTTTAAATATAAATATTTTATTTATTTATTCACAAATGAGTCTATGTACAAATGTATCTGTTATGGATAAAGGTGATGGTGGTGTAGTCGCCTATGATTGCTTACTTTATTATATTCTATTTATTTAATGATGATGGTGAATCCGTCATTCAATTGGCCAAAAAGGACTAAATGACGAGTTTTGCTTTATAATTAAAAGGTTTAGTATGGATTATACTAAAAAGGTTGATGATATATATCTTATGTTTCAAAAAGATTGACGACGAAAAGTGCAAATTTCCCAACTAAAATTGAAGTTCCGTGACCTAACAAAATTAAATTGAACTTTAGAGATGCAATTGAGATAATTATTGTTTAGAGACTAATCAAAATTTCAGTGACAGTTCAGCGATTGGAGATGAAATTTAGCCGTATGTATGCATATGGGGGAGGGGGTGTATGTATGTATGTATGCACATGAGAGAGAGAGAGAGAGAGAGAGAGAGAGTACAGGTCTGATAAATGGTGGGGTGTGTCTGTTTTGGAGTTTAGGTGGAAAACAGAAATACAAAAGAATCAAGTTTATAAATACATTGCATTACCAAATTTAGTCACCTCAGTCCAACTCATTTTAGTTTATATCTATGTTGACATTTCTCTGGGTAGAATAATGTGGCCCATTCATATTCACAACTCTTCAATCATATGTGCCCACAAGAATGTCCAACTCTTCTGAACATTTTAATTAGTAAATTTTTACATATTTTACTTTACAAACATGTCCTTGTCTAAGAAATAACTTGCATCAATGTTTCAAGAACCATACTTACCTGAGCAACGGTTCGTAATCAATCCCGATAAGTATATGTACATGACATGTTCAGTATGTTAGTGGTGATTAACTTCTATCACTAGCACTTGGAATTGGAAGGAAACAAACAAGCTAGTTCGAAGAAGACCATGGGTCGAAAGAATGGAGCCTTCCAATGGTACTTATATTCCCACTAAAATGAGGGAGCTGTTTTAATTTTTAAAACTGATTGGCTTGTCCAGAATTTAAAAATTAATAATAGTCCATAACGATCAAAGTCGATTTGTATTTCTACGATCGAAGCGAACTAAAAATAATATTGATCAAAATCTTGTCAAATTTGTTAAAAGTCTTGTAACGATGGAAGAAATTTCTAAACAAAGGATTTTTATTTTTTTAACTCCCTACTGCATGGACAAGAGAAAATTACAGAAAAAAATAAAAACTAAGTAAAATTTAAATATATACAAACAAGAACCTCAGAAATTCTATTGCCATTTTCCTTTTACTTCCACATTCATTTCTTAGTGCTTCTTTCTTCCTATCAAACCTTCTGTCCACAAACAAAGAATTAGGTCTCTGGGAATTATGCAATATCATAACATTTCAAATAATTATTTACCGGATTTTCCTGATGCGGATTTCTCTTTCATTGAAGATTTGAGGAAATTTAAATGCTTTTTCCTTGTAGATTCACCCTGCAGGAGCCCGAGATATTAGAGTTTCTGCATTAGTATAACTATAGCTCTCTCTAGATGAGCTCTATCAGCAATATAGTCTCCTTTAGTGACTATAAATAAAGCATTCTACGAGTGTACTCACTCTTTTGATTATGTTCACATGATAATTATACTGATTTGAGCATCAGAGAGTTCCCCGCGGCGTCCTCAGAATTATTGTTCTCAAGAGAACGGAGAGAATTAAAAGGACCATCTCGACAAAAAAAATTAGTACGTACCTCAAAATTTGCAGCAGAAGATTCTTGTGAGAAATAAGGGACATATTCTTTTGCAGTATGATTGTTGAAAGATCCTACGTTGTCCTGAAATTCGACCGAAACATCATTTTCCACGATATTTTTCCTAGTCCTCAGAAAAATAACATGGAATATTGCAGTTTCATTGAATTAACCTGGGTGAAATGAAAGAATGGAGAACTAGCAGTATCATCGAGATGAAAATTTTGTTGCGCTTTTGCTTTCTTCTTCTGCTTGCTCTTCTTTTGACGTCCATCGGCAGATTCGTGGTATTCATTGAAAACCGGAGGGCCAGATGATGCATCAGACACCATGGACAGATCTTTACCTTCTGTGTCCTCATTGGCATAAGCTGATCCTTTTGGATAATACTCATCGACAGGCCTGCCAAAACCCAGGTTGTGTCGACCGGTACAGTTGGAAAATTGATCAAAATACACGGTCCATCCGGATTCACAACCACTACTACATTCAGAATTTGATATGTTCATTCTATCACATCAAGACTTGCTTCTATACAGGTTTCTTGCACTAAAGAGAGAGATGTTCCTATTTATAAGTAGAAGAGAAAAAGAATGAATAATACAAACGAAAAAATTACACTTGGAATCCTAGACCTGATATGAGAAGTTTCAAAAATCGCCAGTTGTCTTGGTTTGGGNNTCAGTTCTTATCCGATTTTTAGAGTGTGTTTGGTATGAATTTTTGGGGAAAGAATTGATTTTTGAGTAGTGATATGATGGGAAATGTATGGTTGAAAAAGAAGAAAAAAGTATTAATGTGATGGAAAATATTATTTTATTGAAAAATGTGTGGTTGAAAATGAGAATTGATTTATTGTAGAAAATGAAAATTTATATCAAACAGGCCCTTAATACGTTACTCCAAACATATTGTAGAAGTTAAATTGTAAAGCGAGCACCATGACCCATTTTTGCACCTAATAGAAATGGTAAGCATAATGCTCCCTGCAAGACTGCAAAATCTTGAAAACTAGTGCACCTCGAGAGTTATTATCTATTGTTGGCCTGTAAATTTGGATTCTTTGGGACCCGAGATGTTGTGGTTTATCTTGAATAGGGGATATTTTATTACCATATTTTGATGCTTTTACATTATATCTTAGCATCATATTCTTCGATCAATAGAATACATATACGGTAATAGACAGTTAAGAACTGTAGATATTTATTTACTTACAACATCAATAAAATTAGGTGTATTTATGAAAATAAAACAAAGAAATTAAAAGGAGAAAAAATTAAAGTAAATATCCCTGTGGACCTTGTTCAATTTGTAGATAAAGATTTTGTGCAGCAAAGAAGTGTTGCGTATTTCATTCTAATTCTATTTATTCAATCTAAATCTTACATAGAGATCCAGAGCATATATATACAAAATTCTAACCAATGAAAGGTGGACACATGTCCAAATAAACTAACTAACTAAAGTGAATAAAGCATGTGAATAAAAGGAGATAAAAGAAAATATACTAAAAGAAAATAATTCTTCATCCCCCCTCAAGCTAGAACGTGATGAAGATCTTCTAAACCTAGCTTGGCGGTAAGGAAATGAAACTGAGGAGTTGGCAGAGCTTTTGTGAAAACGTCTACAAGTTGTTGGGAAGAGGAGATATATTGAGGAAGAACAAAACATTCATTGAATTTATCCCGCACAAGGTGACAATCAATTTCTAGGTGTTTAGTTCGTTCGTGAAAAACTGCATTGGCTGTAATATGAAGTGCAGATTTGTTATCACACCATAAAGGAATCGGTAGAGACAAGTTGATCATAAAATTTGCAAGGATATAACTAATCCAGCGAAGTTCACAAACTGTAGCAGCTAAACTTCTATATTCGGCCTCCGCTGTTGATCTTGAGACTGTAGTTTGCTTCTTGGTTTTCCAAGAAATCAAAGTGTTACCTAAGAAGACGCAAAAACTAGTCAGTGACCTCCGAGTATCAACACAAGACGCCCAATCCGCATCCAAATATGCTGTTAATGAAAGGTCTTGCTGAACAAGAAAGAACAATCCTTTAGAAGGACATCCCTTCAAATGCTTCATCAGATGCATTGCAGTATCCCAACGAATTTGACAAGGATTATTGACAAATTGACTTAATTGTTGTATCCCATATGTAAGATCTGGCCTTGTTAGATTCAAGTATAGAAGTCTACCAATCAATCTTCTATATCTTGTTGGATCTGGAAAAGGCTTTCCATCATTTCGAGATAATTTTGTACCTTTAGGAATAAGAACCCCAACAAGTTTTTCACCAACAAGACCAGCATCTTTAATGATATCCAAAATATATTTTCTCTGGTTCACATATGTTCCACTGTTTCCTCTAGCTATTTCGAGCCCTAAAAAATATTTTGCATAGCCTAAATCTTTGATAGTGAATGTAGAATGCAAAAAAATGTTTGACAGAGATTATATCTGACTCATGTGTTCCAGTGATCAATATATCATCCACATATATCAAAAGAAAGATGCTATGACCGGAAGAATGATGAATAAAAAGGTAGTGATCATGCTGAGATTGAGGAAAACCATAACCAGTAAGCTTATGACAGAGTTCAATACTCCATTGTCGTGAGGCTTGTTTCAAACCATATAAACTCTATTTCAACTTGCAAACTTGACCTGTTAGAACTTGTTTATATCCGACTGGTGGTTCCATATAGATCTCTTCATCAAGATACCCGTGCAAAAATGCATTGTTAATGTCCAACTGGTGAATGGGCCAAGACTTTGCTGATGTAATAGCAAGAAAAATCCTTACTGTAACTTACTTTGCACAGGTGAAAAACATTCAAAGAAATCTACTCCTTCCATTTGATCATACCCATTTGCCACCAATCTTTCCTTGAATCTATCAATTGTTCCATCCGGTTTAAGTTTAACCTTATATACCCATTTAGAGCCTATTGCTATCTTTCCAATAAGTAAATAAGTCAATTCCCATGTATCGTTTTCTTCTAATGCCTTCAATTCATCATTCATGGCTTATACCCAATTTTGATCTTTACAAGTTTGATGACAAGTATGTGGTTCTTGAACAGTTGATACATTAGCCAGAACAGAAATATATGCATGGTGTAAACAAGGAGAAACAGAGTATGCATATGTGGTAGGTGTATGTTGTGAGCTGAATTTAGTGGTACCAAAACTTTCTTAAACATTAGCAATTGGATCCACTGAACTTCCAGTTACATTAGTGATATAGTCATCCGACCAGGTAGGTCTAACTCTCAATCTACTGCTCTGTCTAGGCTCTTGTACATCATCAGCTTCAGTGATAGGAGATTCAAGGAAATGAACTTGTATAATGGGCATAGTGTGAGGATCAGAATTGGAAGAGCTTGGTGTAGTATCATCAGGAATAGAGTCTGTCATATGGTCTTGAAAAAAACCTGAATTATTTTCTTTTATTATATTTTCTTTATCTCCTTTTATTCACATGCTTTATTCACTTTAGTTTGTTTGTTTGTTTGGACATGTGTCCACCTTTCATCATTGTCCTATAGTGAAAAATGAGTTGGGTAAAAAATGAACTTAACTTTTGCAGTTTATGTCAATTTTGGAACAGATAAAAGGTTAAATTTGAATTTGGGAATATGCAATACATTGGTTAAGAGAAGTCTTTGATTTATAGTGATGGATCCATTATGTTTAACATGCTTAATAGATCCATCAAGTAAACAGACGGCAGTGGATTGTGCACCAGGTTTTACATCGGTCATTTGTTTAATGTATGTGCATATATGATTGCTGGCACCAGTATCAATTGTCCAAGTATTACATCCTAGATCATCAAGTGAGGTAGAAGCCAAATGTTGAGTACACATACCAGAATAATCGTTGAGATGAGCAAAATTGATTTGACTTCCATTGTCTACCAGCAATTTTCCTTTGAGAATTTTCATCAATTCCTGTTGTACAATGTTTGTGATATAGCCGATGATGCTTCTCCTTTTGATTCACCGCAACTGCCCTTTCTTCAAGATCAAGTGGTGAATCACTTACGTTCATTACATTATTTACCACAATCCTTCCTCCAAATTCTCTAACTCTTTGTTCCTTTAATCCTTTGTATCAATCCGGATAACCAATTAACTTGAAACAACAGCCTTCCTTTGAATGTCCATTGGCATTGCAATGATTGCAGAATAATGTTTCCTTATCAAAATTGTTGAACCTCTTATTATTTCCTCTTCCAAAAGTATTGTTACCTCTTTTGAAATTAAACCTTCCAGTCCAGTTTCCTCTTCCTCTCATATGTCCATTACTTCTGTAATTATTTCCTGTTGCCATCATCGCTCGATTATCATTAACCTCTGGAAAACGTACATGTACCTCCCTCTGCTTTTCAACTTTCAAAACTATGGAGTATGATGTGTTAATTGATGGTAAAGGATCCATTACCAACAACTGATTTCTGATATTATCGTAGGTGTCATTCAGCCCCATCAAAAACTGCATAAGTTTGTTGAATGAGGCTAAATCAAATACTTCCTTCGCAGCTCCACAAGTACAGATTGAATGGGCATCAGACAGGTGATTTCGTCCCACAGTTTTTTGAGTTTAGTGAAATACTTTTCAACTGATAATGATCCTTGAGTTAAACTACTAATCTCTCTCTGTAATTGATAAAGTAAAGGACCGTTCCATTCCCCATATCTCTCCTCCAACTCAACCCATAAGTCTCTAGCCGAAGTTGTGAAGATGAATGGATCCACAATTTCCTTCGAGATTGAATTCAATAACCAAGATCTAACTGTACAGTCCACTCTAAACCACTAATCGAACTGTGAAGATTCTTCAGCTGGTTTTTCATATTTCCCATTTATAAATCTCAATTTCAATTTTACACCTAGTGCAATTTTAATCGACCTACTCCAACTCAAATAATTCTTAACTGTTAAAGGTGAAGTCACCAATACCATTCCTGGGTGACCTGATCCTTGAAGATCTAATAGATCTCCATTGTTATAATCTTTCTCAGATGCTCCTTGTTCTGTGGATAGAAGATCAGTTTGCTCATGTGAAATTCTATAGCCATGATTTAATATGGCATTGACTTGACAACAGCTGAGATGATTAAGCTCAGAATCTGAATACTTGCTCTGATACCATGTTTAATTTGTAGATGAAGATTTTGTGCAGCAAAAAGGCGTTGCGTATTTCATTCTAATTCTATTTATTCAATCTAAGTTTTACATAGAGATCCAAAGCATATATATACAAAATTTTAACCAATGAAAGGTGGACACATGTCCAAACAAATTAACTAAAGTGAATAAAGCATGTGAATAAAAGGAGATAAAAGAAAATATAATAAAAGAAAATAATTCTTCAAACCTCGATTTCGTGCCGATGACTCAAAAAATACCTAAATAGAATAAGATGTAGTCGTCCACGGTGCCACAAATTTCCTATCTGATATTTAGTGTTACTTAAAATTACTCTTAGTAAAGTTAAGATTA